GGACTGTCTTTTGGCGTTAGCAATAACGCCGAAAAGACAAAGGAGACCAAAAGATAACGCACGGCCCCCCAGCGGAGCTGGGAAGAGGACCGCCGCAAGCGGCGTGGCGTGGAGCGGTTGTGCATCCCTCCGGGGGCCCCTCTGCGCCGGGGAGGCGTTGTTGGAGGCTAGGACGCAAGCGTCCGTCGCCCTTTTCAAACTCGGGGCCCACTCCGCTACGCTCCGACCCGAATTTGGAGGGCCTGAAAAGTTTAAGGTGTTGCTGCGCAAAAGGGTGGGGAGCCGCGGCGGCGCCGCAGGCGCGGGCGCGCAGTGGAAGCACGCTAGCCATACACATTCGGGTCGTGACGGCTCGAGGGTGCGCACACTAGCGGCCGGACGCCTCACCCGCGGACGCCACGCGCACCCTCCAACATCGCCGCCGAGCCCAACGCCCTGCCGTCAATCTCGACGAGCGCCGCACACCTGCGCGGACAGTGGGCAGACGTTGCCGCCTTGTGTCCTCGTGTGCCCGGAAAGCCTCGAGCCGGCGCGCACCGGTGGCAGCGCAGGATGAGGCGGCAGCAGTGGAGGGTTGGGGCGCATTTGAAGGCGCTGGCCCCGACGCGCCATTAACTGGGTCGGAGTGGTTCCTCACCCCTCTGGTTTCAGTCAAGCGGGAAGAGTCTGTGCAAGGGGGGCGGATGGGGCTAAACGTCGACGCTCAAGGAAGGTTGCACACCCCGCGCCGCTGGTCTCTGGTCTCGCCCCGCGCCGACTATGATCGCGGCGATACATAACGCGCGGCGGAAGAAGCGGGAGGCAGCGGCGGCGCACAAGGCGCAGCATCGCACTGCAGAAAATTCGATGGACTCTCTCGAGGACAGCACCCACGAGACAGACGCCGGGGAGCGCGCCCAGGCGGGGTCTACCAAGCTGGCCTGGACGGATGTCGTAGCGCCGCCGCCAAGGAAGGTTGTCTTTTGGCTCCCGCACCAGGTGCCACCCCGACCTCCCTTGCAAACGTCCTAGCAGAACCAAGCTAGAAGCCCACGCCTCTGGACCGCGCCCCTCTCCGCCCGCAGCGCAAGGTCTTTGACTTCTACGCGAGTCAGGGGGTGCAGTACTTCACCGCCGTTCTCATCGTTTGTCTCCCTAGATGCTACATTCAGACTCCTGCATTCGCTCGAGGCCAAATGCCGCCTTCTCATCGTTTGTCTCCCTAGAGGCCACATTCAGACTCCTGCATTCGCTTGAGGCCACCGTGCCGCGTACGGCCCTGTCCCTGGCAGGTTTCAAACTTTATCTTCAACTGCGCCGAGAAGGAGTGGGACCCGTACACGGATCAGCTCTACCAGGGGCTGTGGCGCTGGGGCGAGTTCGCCTTCAACACGATGTTCCTCATCGAGCTGCTCATCAACTTTTACGGGATCGCCTTCTGCTTCTGGCGGTACAACTGGGCGTGGAACACCTTCGATTTGATCGTCGTTGCCATCGGGACCCTCACGATGGCGGAGGCCATTGGGGGCAACTTCATGCCGCCCTCGATGGCGTTGATTCGCAACCTTCGGGCCTTTCGCATCTTCCGGCTCTTCAAGCGGATCAAGTCGCTCAACAAGATCATCGTCTCGCTCGGCAAGGCGATTCCCGGCGTCGCCAACGCGTTTGTCATCATGGTGATAATCATGTGCATCTATGCCATCCTCGGCGTCGAATTCTACCACATGACGGGCTCCGACGGCACCTATGTCACGTACAACGACAACGTCAAGCGAGGGCTCTGCACAGGGGACGAGGTAGAGTTGGGCCAATGCTCGCTCAACCAGACGGTCTCGTCCGAGACGGCGAGAGGGTACACGTATGGCGAGGAGTATTATGGCACCTTCTTCCGCGCGTTGTACACGCTCTTCCAGGTGCTGACGGGCGAATCGTGGTCCGAGGCTGTCGCTCGCCCCGCCGTCTTTGAGTCGCACTATGACTCGTTCGGGCCCGTCCTCTTTTACGTCTCGTTTATCATCATCTGCCAGATCGTACTGATCAATGTCGTGGTTGCAGTGCTGCT